GAAATCGCTGTATAACCGTGCCTTAATCAAATATCAATTGCATTTGTTTGGCTTCATATGGACTAGCTTATTTACAGCATTGGCCCGAAAATAATTGTTGGCATCTGCCACGCCCCAGCGCCCAGCGCCCAGGAAAAACAAATGGTGAAATCGCAGCCAATGCAATGCCATAGAGCACAACAAAATCCGTGCTAACGTGGACTAACGGAATTGCCCGGCCCGGATGCGAGCATTTCGGAGGGCTGAGCCCGGTCCGGTCCGGGTCGAGTCGAGTCGAGTCTAACGCACATTTTCTGTTGTGCGGCAGACCGAATGGCGCCAATAAAACTTTTTCAAACATAAATATGGCGAGTATCTGAGGGGGGTTGGGTTATAGGAGGTGTCAGCAAAAATAACGAACAAGAAAACAAGCTTTAGTTACAATTTGAAACAAAGCCCCGAACGTAAGAGAAGCTGGAGATGAAAAGTAGAGCAAGAACGTGCCAAACTAAAAATTATGACAGGCCAACACACAGCAACGTAACGAGGATGAGAGCGAAATATTTGGCGACACTCGGTGCACCCTGTGCCTCCTCAATGTATGTGGGGGTGTGTGTGGGTGTGTTTGTTCAGTGCAATCAATGCTGTTGTTGTTGTTCTTGTTGTTGTCGAGTTCGTTTTGTTGACTTTAATCAGCCTCTCTGCGATGCAAATTAAGTGCCAAAAACAACAGCAACCAGCAACAACAAGAAAAACACCATTTAATGCAAATAATGTGCCGTTATATCTCTCGCGAGTATCAAATAATGTTGACAGGGTACCCGACCCACCGACCGACCGACCGACCGCCCCCTAAAGCTCTCTCAGTCCTCGACCCGCCCAGCTGTTCTGCTGATAAAACTTTTTTTTTTTTTCTTTTTACAGCTTTGTGTGACATTTTTTTGTCAACATTTTTGTATTGTTTGGGTTGTATTTGCCGTCGCGACGCCCGCTCGCATTTACACACAGGCAAGACAAATAAAAGTTCAGCTCTCCCTCATTCTCTCTCGTGTATCTCTTAGCTCTGCTCTTGTGACTCTCAACCTCTGCTCGAACGAATAACGATGAATTTTATAATTTCGTATGCAAATCGCGTTTGCCATAAAAGACCATGTTATGGACAGTGTGCGTAAATAATTTTGTTTGTTGCTCGCTCCCTTTTTCAGGGCCTTTCCCTGCGTGGGCCGTTAAATGTATCACCTGAGACGGGCTGCTGATAAAGCTGTCACTTCTCTTGAAAAGCCGGTTCAGAGAACCGAAAATGAAAATGCTGATAGGGGGATGACCACTAGAATGATTCATTAAACAAAAAGTTCAAGTGAGTAACACGAAAGAGAGGGTCAGAGAGAGAGCAAGAGTAATTAAGAAAACATCTAAGCACATTCACACAGTTTGAGATTCACTGAAAAGAGCGCTTACGAATCGAAAACCCGATCGCTCTCAATGTCAAATAAATGCAAAAGCAAACACAGCGTAAATATTACAGCCTGTTAGCTCACACACACACACACACACACCCATATACAGATGTTGCTTAACATTGCCCGCTTGCGCCATGTGACTCAATGTGAGCGAACTTCAATTGAAGTTACAGTCAAAAACAACAAAGACAAAGAGAGAGAGGGAGAGCAACTGAGCTTAGTGATGGGAGAGCTTGGAAGTTGGCGATGCGGCTTCCAAGTGTGCAAAAGCGAATAACAAAAACAAAAGAAAGCATGTAAAGAAAAAATACAGGCTATAAAGAGAAAAGAATATAACATTATAGAATGTATACACATGTGTGTATGGAATGTACGAATGTATATATGTATGTACATACATATGTGGTATAACTTATATATGTATAAGTGTATTGTTATTGTGTTAGCATGTTTCTACTTTCGCATAAATTTAAATATTTTTAATGTGCACACACGAACGTTTTCAAACTCACGCATGTTGTATAATATATGCACATACATATGTACAAATAATGTAAATATGTTTATATATGCACAGACATACATACATATGCATACATACATACACATGTATATGTTATATGTACGTTTTTGTCGCTACCGGCAGCGAAGTCAAAGAACAAGTGTGTGTATTTTTATAATTTCGAATAGTGGCCGGCAGACAACAGCTGCTCTCCCGGAGCGCCACGAGGCGAACGTGTGGGCGTATGTGTATATGGTTGTATGGGTGTGTGTATACAAATGTATATTCATAGGACGTTTCACTTACCAGCGTTGCAAAAGTCGCCGTCACCGGCCTCAAACGCCGGCCGCAGCGCTCTAACGGTCGCACATTGGAACGACTCAACAGGAGCTGACTAATGTTGCCCAGTAAGACGAGGCCGTGCCTGGACATGCTGTGACGGCTCGAACTGGAGTTGGAGGTGGAGCTGGAGTTGGAGCTGGAGCTGGAACTGGTGCTAGTGCCAAACTTGGAACTTGCCACGCGAGATCACAGCAACAACAACAACAAAACAATTCACTATGATTCACGAGAGCAGGAAACGATGAGCTGCTGCAATGACGAGGGTTGAGGTGGGGAATGGATGGAAGAGGGAGGCAGAGGCAATGAGTAAGATCTACTGCTACTATCTCCGTTCTTGCTATTGTCGCTGTTGTTATTGCTGTTGTTGCTGTATTTTCACTTAGCTGCTAAACAGAGTTGGCGCTGCTTGAAACTTCATTTGAAATTGCTTTAAGAAAAGCTTAAAACGTATTTGCAATTTGGACATTCAATAATTTAGTTCTGCGAGTATTTAAGGTTGGATTGTAAACATCACAGTTGCATTTACGAATATTGCTGTTCTGATTTGAGTACCAATGAATAAATAAAATCAACTCCCAAATTTTCAAAAAAAAAAAAAATAATAAATAAGAAAAGGTCTAATTGTTTTGAATTTTTAAATCCGACTGATAGAAATTTAGTTAATACGTTTATGTTAAACAATGTGCAACAGTGCCACAACAACAGTAACAGAAACAGGAACAACAGCAGCAACAACAAAGGCGACGCGCAAAAAGTTGGAAAGACGAGAATCAGACAATGAGGCAAAGGGTAAGAATTTACCGGTTTTAACTTTTTTTTTGTATTTTTTTTTATTTGGGTGTATGCTATTTTAACTACGAAACTAGACGCGGCACATGTTTTGCACAGAAAAGAGCGATAGGATCATTAAATATGCTTTAGCTATTGATATTAACTGCGTTATATGTATTTTTATTTTTTGTATTATAAATATTACATTAAGCTCGAGCTGCGGCTTTGCCGATTATTTTGTTTCGCACTTTGCACTCGACTCTGGCATTTACTTTGGCAGCGACGTCACTCTACGACACTCGTGATAGTGGCGGCGGCTTTTTTCTATCGCTGCACGGTCTCTATAATTTAATTGAAATTCTAAATTTGTAAAGCTTAGGCTATAACGAAAGCAGCCGCAATTCGCCAAACGAAGTAGCCGAACCGCGCGCGTGAAAGTATGATAACAGACTGCTGTTAAAATCCAATCAGACAGTTCGACCCCCTTTGGCGCAATCGCATGCTGTGAGTCCGAAAGTTCGACAACAGCTGAGCTGTCTGGGCTGACAATCGGTGCCGGCTGGTACGCACACACAAGTTTCGATAGAAACTGGTCAGACAAAAACTACACTACTTTTTTATTTATACTTTAAATGTACAGAAATATATTGTATTTTCATTTATACTTATCTATATAAAATTTATAAATATTTGTTTTTAACAGAAATTTTAGCATAACACTACGCTAGGTGGCTGGCTGTTAAATAACAGAGTTCGTTGTGTTTCTTCGTTAAATGTAAACTAAAATAAACGATATGGCAGGGCCAAATTTAGCGAATGCATTGTAATGGTTTGTGTACTGGCTAAGCAGGGTGATTACGGGCATGCTGAATTGTTGCCAATTTTCGAATAAATAAAAACACTAAGTGCATTAAATTTTCGCTTTTATTATTGTCGCATTACGAATCTAAACTTTTAACTAGTTTATATATATTAATATATATATATATATCCAACTATACAATATATATACTATATATAGAGCTTTGCTTAGTGCTTTAAACATAAAACTAGAAAGGTTCCATTTAAGCATTTTCCTTGTCGTTCGCTGCGTTCGCCTAAAAACATTTACAATACACACTTAAAACAAATAGCAGCCTTATTTAAATATATATATATATATCTATATCTATATATGTAACATAGGTATAGCACTCGTAACTGTAAAAACGGGCTTCACAGTTTTGGCATGGATTTAAATTGTTAATCAAATATAGTATACAAATTGTTAAAAACATAAATATTTATAGAGTTCAGCTATTATAATTTCTGCAATTCTTGTTGCTGTGTGTGTTTCGAGTCTTTGATAAGTGAGTTGACAACAAAATTGTTCTGAGGTATTAACGAAATGAATCAAGACGCAGTTAATTGGGCGCATAATAACCGTTACAAACGTTTGCGTAATTGGCTCTGATTTTTATGGGTTTTACACATATTACCTCCCTCTCTCATGTTTTAATGATTTATGTTTTTCTTTTTTTGTTTGTATTTTTTCTTTTTTTTTTCTAGCATAACATTTTTGAACAACTAACAAAGCGCATGAAACGCATTTATGCATTTATTCATGATGCTTTTCTGCTATAGATTACAATGCGCTGGCAGCAGAGACACACAGACACACACACACACATACACAGATTCCATTATACTATTTACACAATTACTCACACCTATACAGCACACATACACACACAGACACACACATGCGCTAGTTAACTGTTTTTCCATTCAGCTGCCAACTGCAGCGACATCATTAAATTGCAACAACAACGACAACAAGCTAGATTTATGCATATTCAAAGCAGCTAATTATGTTTTTTTGTCCTTTTCGCTCTGTTGTTGTTTTTGTGTTCGCTGTCGCTGTCGCTGCTTCTGCTTCTGCTTCTGCCTCTGCCATTACTGCTGTCGCTGCGTCTGCCGCTGCCGCTGCTTCTCTCAGTGCTGCCAGCACGCATTGTTCCAGGCGCCGCCGCTGCCGCTGCCGCCGTCAGCTGTAGCCAGTGCAACTGTTTCCTGAGTTTCGCACGCATTTTGCGATATTTGTTGCCGCCAATGCCAATTCCTAGACCAATTCCAAGTTCAACTGCGCCAATGGCCACGCCTCCAAACAGCTGCTATCACGTGCCCGTCGACAAATCATCCTTGAGCCACTGGGGTATGGGACGTGAGCCGAGCTTCTTCAGCAGCTTTACCAGCGCCGTGTTGTGGTTCAGATAGTAGCTAAAATGTTTGAGAGAAAAAGGGAGAGCATGAGTTAAGCAAAGACAACTTTCGAGTTCGAATTCGCATTTGCATAACAGATGTAACAGTTGAGCCAGCTGCGGTTCACTGGAACTTGTTGATTGTTCACGAAGATTCAAATTGCAAATTCGAAATGAATTTATGAACCTTTGTTATCTATTGCCAACGTAATGTTAATTTAAGGTATGGTAACAACTCCTTGTCAGATCTGAGCAAATATTCCATATTTCTTTGCCATTCGAAACAAGCTACATCATGCACAGTGCCACATCATCTGTCAGTCTAATGAACTCCCTAAGCTGCTGCTCCAGCTGCTCCTGTTGCTTGAAGTGCTTCAGGTTTCCTTTTCATATTTGATGCTCCGTTCATTGTGATGTCTAATAAAAGTGGCTCGTTTAGCCGCCTCCTCGAATCACTGAATATAAAAAGGGCTCACGCCAAACTGACAGCTGGCATCCGGAATTGCAGTCGTACAGCAAAGTGCACTTTCCACGGCCGCAAAAATGCCGCACCCACACACACACACACATGCACACACTCACAAAAACCTGCCGCCTCTCAGAGAGCGCCTGCCTCTTAGTGACGCCCACAACTATTCTATCTACAATCCCACACACACACATACACACACACTGACACACTCACACTGCATGTGTGGGTGTGTTCATTAATCCTTCACTCAAAGCAGCAGCGCCGACGTCGTCATCTGTCTGTCGCCCCAAAACCAACCCAAATCACTCATACGACCCGTTTTTTATTCCGTTTGCATTCGTTTTGTGTTTTTTTTTTGTTTTGTTTCAGTTTTTTACTCTATTTTTTGGTTTTACTTACCGCTGCAACAGCTTGGCACTGCGCTCATCCATTTGGGGATATTGGCGCCCCTTGGACTTGCCGAGGCATTTATTGCGCTTCTCGCTGACAGCCTGGCAGTAGAAGCCCTTTTTCACATCGTAGCGCAGGTGATTGGAATAGTCGAGGAGCGGTTGGATTTTCAAAAAGCGCTGCAGCTCGTTCATCACATCGATGGGATTGAGCCGCAATTGCTCCCCATCGATGATGTGCAGCTGCTGGGCGGGATAGTAGGCCAGCCAGTGCTCCAGATGCTGTGCGTATTTGCCCGGATTCAAGCAGCGATTACGCAAATCCTTCAGAGCGCGCGGTGCCGAGTCGCTAGCCGTTATGACCTGGCCAAAGAAGCAAATGTCAAAAAGTTAAAGACATACCACATACGATACGATATATACACACACACACATACACACACATATATACTTATATAACTCAAGTTCATGTGCTGTGACCAATTTAATGGTCGACTTCAGACATTGCGAGACATCGGGTCGAACACATGTCAAAAATGTTGAGCAAGCCAGGCAAAAGGCAGAGGGGCCAGCAGCAGGGGCGTGACAGTGCAAACATGTGCTAAGCTGGCCAATGCTGCATGCGGCAGGTGCAACTAAATATGCTGCAATTGGCATTGCACTCAGCCTTTGGTCAAAAAGGAATCTGCATGCAAATCGAAAAATGATGCCGACAAGTTGCTTCATTCTAAGGGCGACAACAGTCCAAGTTGGGGGCGTGGCAGCATGGGAGGTTTGGGTAAATAAAATCGAAATGCGATTTTGTGAAGCGCCAAATGAATTTTCATTTTGAAGAGCTGCTCTCCAAACAGCAATGGCAATGGCATTGGCAATAAATGCCACATCGAACCAGTTGCAAGTGCAGCAGCTTGTGGTTGCGTTGCATGTTCTGCTTGGCTAAGCTCATGCTGAATTGATGGATAGTTCATTAGATCTCTGTGCATTTGCAGCTGACAGCTGTTGACTAATGAACCAAAAACAATCTTGCCAAAAACAGAGCTGCCCAGACTCCCTTTGCATGCCAGAGTCCTGCTGCAGATATGTTTATGCTTTGGCAGGAGTCGAGGTAGTCAAATGGATGCTAGACTCACAGCTTAATTGCTGACAAATTCTTGCCCCAACTTTATTTGAATACTCTCGGAGACTAACACTTGAATTGCTATGAAAATGAAACTCTTGCACAGAGTTTGGGAAAAACGCTTAATTGGGAATATACAAGAACTTATTATTCGGGTAATTGTTGCTGAAGAACTTAGGACTTCAATGTCGTTCAGACTTTGTTTATATATGTAAAGAACATTTTCAAGTTTGTTTCAGTTTTTGTTTATGCTAAATTAGCTGGAATTATATCTGTGTACATATATGTACATATATAGCTGAAGTTGTATTGAAACTGATAGAAAGAGAGAGAGAGAGGAGAAACAGACAGACTGACAGTGTGAGAGTGACAGGTAGACAGAGCGAGAGAGAGACAAACGGAGAGAGAGAGGCAGACACAGTCAGAGAGACAGACAAAGATAGAGAGTGAGTGAGAAAGAGAGAGAGAGGGGAAGACTGAGAGAGACATATAAATATCGTGGGAAGAGAGTTCATATAATTCTCATTTAATACACAGTCTCCCTCCCCCTCTCTCTCTCTCTCTTTTATACTCTCAAGCACTCACCTGATAGAAACTGTAGTTGTTCGCTATGACGTCGCCGTGAGCGCGCTGATGCTGATACCAGGAGTAGGCGCGCTTCGCTGGCGATATGAGAATGGTGACGATCTTGGCATGGGGCAGGAGAGCGTGCGCACGCTTAGGCACCGCCTCGCCGTCGAAGTAGGTGGCGCTCTTCTCGAACATGTAGCGCGGCGTGCCCACGGCCGTGGGCATGGGGGAGCTGGTGTTGGGCAGCGTTTCCGAGGGAAAGAAGTCCATGTACCAGTCGAGGCCGCGGTAGTAGTTGTTGCCATTGAAGAACTGCACCTCCTCGAAGGTGTCCGGACTGGGTATGTTGCTGGCCACGCTGCCGTGCATCGAGAGGAATGTGTAGAGGGCGGTGGTGCCCGTCTTCTGTGGCCCAATGACCAGGAATTTGGGCAGTGAGTCGCAGCTCTTGGTCTTCGACCAGATCTTCTTGTGGCGCGCATCGTCGCAGGGATTGCCCCACACGGGATCGACCTCCTCGGGATGCAGCCGGAAGTACATCTCGGCCAGCTGAATGGGCGGTGCCGAGGCCAGCTTCAGATTGGTCCAGCACTGCAGGAACTTGATGACCGATTGGAATGTGTAGAGCGCCAGGCGATCGGAGCCATAGTTGGACATGTGCGTCATGAATATGTTGATGGGATTGTAGACGATGGTCTGGAACAGCTCGCCGCCCTGTATGGACTCGTCCAGCTTATCCCGTCCGCCCGGATACCTATCTATGTACATGGTGTGGGTGAACAGGCCGCACGTCTGCCGCGGCAGCACCATTATATTCCGGTGGATGAAGCCACGGCGTAGGCGAGCTGGCCGCAAATGCGGATACTCCTCGGTGGAGGTGACCTTCACGTTCCACACCTGCTTCCAGGCCATGTAGAGCAGCTCGTGCGCCGGATAGACGCCCGAATGGTGCGGCGATATGGAGTAGCCCGAGTTCGTGGGAATATTGTGCTCCTTGGCGAACGCAAAGTTCAGCTGCATCTCGGCCATCAGCAGGGTGAGGTTGTCGTAGAGGTGCGGCTGCTGGTGCTTCCACATGTGCGAGAACCAGTTGAACTCCTGCACATTCTGCAGCAGGAAGTCGTCGCCCAGATTCTCCTCCCGGGTGCCGTGATGGTAGTACTTGCCGGAGAAGCCCAAATTGAAACGGAACCCGGGCACCATGCCGCCAATGATCTTCTGCGTGGCAATCAGAGCGCGCACATCGTCCGGCCGCAGCCGCGTGCCCTTCTCGCCCACAAAGATGTCATCGATGTCCACCAGGATCATGCGCTCCAAGCTGAGACTCAGCTGGCCATGACTGAGGTAGCTGAGTGCGTCCAGGAACACCAACCGATGCAGCCAGAACCGCAAACTGCTGCCAAAGAGCACGCGCTGTATGCCATCCAATTGGCCGCGATCCTGCAGCACCGTGGTCAGCGGCAGCTGCACCTGGCCCACGCTGTCCGCTGGATACTCCTGGGTGTTGCGCTGCGCCCACTCCACCGGCTCGTAGGTGCTGTGGTTGTGCTGGAACACCGCCCAATCGTCGCCCGGCAGGGCACCCCATGCCGTTTCCCCAGCCCGCGTGAGGCGCAGCACCGAGGAGCTGGGGTTCAGGCTGGCGTCTCGCAGCCGCAGGTTCGTGTGCACAAAGAGCGGAAAGTCGCGCAGCTGGGCACCGACCAGCGTCTCCTCGCTGGGACTGACGAAGCCCACAATGCCCACAGAGTACTCGCGGCAATACTTGTCCAGCAGCTCGCGATTCCACTTGTCCATGTTGAGATACTTGTCCAGATTCTCAAAGACAATCACGCCATAGCGGCCCTTGTCCAGATTCGTCAGCACCGGCAGACTCTTGCCGGCCACCTCGATTTTATATCTGCAAGAGGAGAATAAAGACAAGGAGACTGTGAGATAACGCAAGAGACAGTTAAATATTTGAGATGCTCGCTGCACGTATTATAACACCCCAGGCTAACATGAAATCGGAGAAAGAAATGGAAACCGAAACTGCTCGCATTTGCAATAGAATCCTTGCAGAAACTGTCAGAAGCAGAGGCGCCCAAGGAGGGTGTTAAACTTCATGTCAAGCTTGACATGCACATAGAGACACGATGGGGCACCCGAGAGACAGAGACAGAGAGCGGAAGTAAGTGAGAAAGGGCTATAGTTTACTTGGCTTGCATTTGACAACAGCTGTCAGAAGCTATTTGCTACGACACTCCGGCAATCAAATGCTTTACACTCCATAAACTATGAAAAACATGCACAGAAATACATGAAAATGAAATTGATTCGAGCCGGCTATGCTGTAAATTTTAATAAATATTTTAAACTTAATATTTGATTAAACACTTTAGTCATATTTGCATAGCATGCTGGGATTCCCTTATTAATATTCATAAATATTTTACTCGCACACAAAACATGCGCATACCCTGTTGTCGTCGTGGTGTGGGTATATTGAAGTTGAGATAAATGAGGGCATAGAGAAGTTGTGATGATACGATCTAATTTAAACTAATAAAATATAATATAATATGATATGCCTTATGTTTTATATATTATTTTTTGTTACATTTTAGTTTTGTTTTATATGTTATACTTTATGCTTTATATTCTATATTTTATATTTTATATTTTGTTTTATATTTTATATTTTATATTTCTTATTTTATATTTTATATATTATATTTTATATTTTATGTTTTATGTTTTATATTTTATATTTTATATTTTATATTTTATATTTTAT